AACACTCCTTTCCCTTGATTTTCAGCTAAAGTCACTCTTAATCAACACATTGGCTATTCTCAGTAAAAGTGAGAAGTATGGTTTTTGACACAACTACAATTCAATGGAACACCCTAAGACTGACTCACAAGTGACATCACAACACTTGTTGCTGTCACATAAGTCAGGAATTCAACTATCTCTAAAGTCGACTAGACTAAATTTAATCAACAACAGGCAGCAAAGCTACCCAATTCTCATTTGTTGTTAATTTTAACTAGGTAAATAGAATCTAAGTAGGAATACAGTCAGATCATCCTCTTGGTTATAATAATGTACCCATATTGTTAACTTCATATTACATATCCTACCTAATGTAACATTGTACAAAACAACCTATGCCATAGAAATAAATAAATATAGCACCTAAAATCAGTACCTGGATTGCTGTTCTCCAGTTTTCATCCTAACATGAAAGGCATTCCATGGGGCCTACACCTGACATCTTCTCTCACCCACCCATTTCAGAGTTAAGCCTCCTTCCTCAGTATTCCCATAACACCTCTCTCCTGACTCTAACAAAGCACTGTAATTGTTTTACACACCTACACATGTATACAGACTATACACTGAGCTCTCCTGCAGCAGGTACCAAGTTGTCCTAAACATCATTAGATCCACAGGACCATCACAATGACTGGCACGGAAAAAGTAACAAATACATTTTAATATACTTGCTCCCTCTGAACAAAATAGGAAAAGAAGCAACCACAGCCCTCAAGAGGAGTCAGCCATGCAAACAAATAATAATAACACAAGGTGTTTGCTTTAATGTTGTACGTGGCCTTGTAATACATAAAATGTAATAGGGAATTACAGGCAAAGAACCTGCCAAGTCTCTCCAGAAAAATTAGGAAGGCTTTATGGAAATGACCTGCAAAGTAAAAAAATTTTGAAAACCGGCATGATTTAAATTCACGGTGGCCATAAAACTCTTTTTATTGGAAAGAAACTAAAATATATAGCACAAATGAGAACACAGGAATTTCAGTGAAAAGTGTACGTGAACATACCAACCACACTTCAACAGGCCTTCAAAATCCATCTTCATTTTTTTAAAATTTTAAATAAAACAATTACATTCAAATAGAAATTTCTTTAAGGCTTCTCATTTTTAATTAAAAGTGTTAAAATATCAGCAGTTGGAAAAATCTAGACAATGAAGATAAAAGTGTAATTTAATAAGAAATGGGATTTTATTTAAGAAACCTGGTGGATAATAGAACCCAGATTATAATGGAGGCCAATGCAACGATGGCCGTCCAGAGTTTAGCATGAGGATGATTCTTGATAGGATTCCATTAGTCTCAGTTCGCCTGAGCTATAGACTAAAAACAACTCACATCTTATCTTAGCATAGTAAAATAATTAAGTTTCCAGAAAACTAGTAGTATTCTTTCAACTAAATTCTTCACGCAATTATAAATGCACTACTTTGTGGCATTATTGGCCTCAAATGTATGGTTTATGAAGAGTCTATATTCAGAAATGCAGCTTCATGTAAATATAACTCTTGGTATCCTAAGTTATTAAAAAGATAGAACTTAGAGTTACATTCAAGGACATACTTTTAGTAGGAAATGGATGCATATCTTTATTTATTTATATGTACATAAAGAAATTCTAGATGGATATCAAGCCAACTAATACCAGAAGTTACCTGGAAAGGACTAGACAGATGAGGATCAAGGATGGGAGGAAGAACTTTCACTTAAACCTTCCTATAGGTTTTGTAAATTTCTGAACTATGTTAGTGTATTTATATTTTCAAATATTTACATAAAAGTGTTTGAGTGAAAGCTATTTGAAAAATATTCCATTTGACCCAGCAATCCCATTACTGGCTATACATCCAAAGGATTATAAATTGTTCTATTGTAAAAACACATGCACACATATGTTCACTGCAGCACTGTTTACAATAACAAAGACCTGGAACCAACCCAGAGGCCCATCAATGACAGACTGGACAAGGAAAATGTGGCACATATACACCATGGAATACTATGCAGCCATAAAAAATGATGAGTTCGTGTCCTTTGTAGGGACATGGATGAATCTGGAAACCATCACTCTCAGCAAACTGACACAAGAACAGAAAATCAAACACTGCATGTTCTCACTCATAGGCGGGTGTTGAACAATGAGAACACATGGACACAGAGAGGGGAGCATCACACACTGGGGTCTGTGGTGGGGGACTAGGGGAGGGACAGCAGAGGGGTAGGGAGGTTGGGGAGGGTTAACATGGGGAGAAATGCCAGATATAGGTGACAGGGGGATGGAGGCAGCAAACCACATTGCCAGGTATGTATGTACCTATGCAACAATCCTGCATGATCTGCAAATGTACCCCAGAACCTAAAGTGCAATAATATATATATATATATATATATATATATATATAAAATAAAATAGAAAAATAGGCTATAAATGTAGTATTTATATAGAATTGAAATTAATTCTATGTTAAGTAGTAATAATAACCTTACTATCTTTTCTTCTATTCTGGTATTATTATTTAAAAATTCTAGTTCTCAGCTGGGCACCGTGGCACACACCTGTAATCCCAGCACTTTGGGAGGCCAATGCAAGTGGATCACTTGAGGCCAGAAGTTCAAGAGCAGCCTGGCCAAACATGGCAAATCCCTGACTCTACTAAAAATACAAAACTTAGCCGGGCATGGTGGCAGGGGCCTATAATACCAGCTATTCAGGCGGCTGAGGCAGGAGATTCTCTTGAACCCAAGAGGCAGAGATTGCAGTGAGCCCAGATTGTGCCACTGCACTCCAGCCTGGGTGACAGAGCGAGACTCCATAATAATAATTACTATCACTTTTAATTATATTATTAATAGTAATAATAGTATAATGCTAACAACAGAAAAACAAAAACCAGATATTGCACTAGACAGAGGGATAAATGTATGACTTCATTTGATCCTTAGTTTAGACCTGAAGCCATTTTACAGATGAGGAAACTGAGGCCGAGAGAGGCTAAGTAATTTCCCCAAGTTACTTACACTTATTTACTATAGACAGCAAAAAGCAGAATAAGACTTCAAACTGCTTGAAGTGTCTCTGCCTCCAAAGTATATACTCCTAACCACTTTGCTTAGAACTTAGAATTATTGGCATTATTACCCCTTTCTGAAAAAATAGGATTATATTTTACAAAGGACTTTCAATGTACCCGAGCCATTAGAAGTGGAAGGAAAAATAAGCTTTGTTTTCACCATTTAAACTCTCATCTACATTACCCATCCCTTTTTATCTGCCCTTCCCTGGCTGATTAGCTCAGGCTGTAGGGTGCTTCGGGATACTTTCCTCTCAGGGTCCCAAGCCCAATGCCTTACTCATTGACTTCACATTCATTAAGCACAACAGGCGTTGCTTCTCCCCTCCCTGTGTCTTACCCTAACAATTATCTCCTATGATCTCAGAAGCAGAATGAGAATCCCTTGAGTCTTTTTTTTTTTTTTTTTTTTTTGAGACGGAGTTTCACTCATGTTACCCAGGCTGGAGTGCAATGGCGCGATCTCGGCTCACCTCAACCTCCGCCTCCTGGGTTCAGGCAATTCTCCTGCCTCAGCCTCCTGAGTAGCTGGGATTACAGGCACGCACCACCATGCCCAGCTAATTTTTTGTATTTTTAGTAGAGACGGGGTTTCACCATGTTGACCAGGATGGTCTCGATCTCTTGACCTTGTGATCCACCCGCCTCGGCCTCCCAAAGTGCTGGGATTACAGGCTTGTGCCACCGCGCCCGGCAGTCTTAAGGGATTTAGTCTTAATGCATTAATGTATTCAAATATTGAATTTGTATCATTCAAATATTTACTAAAAATGTATTTAAGTGTAAGGTGCTGGGGCCTGCCCTCTGAGAGTTTACAGCAGAAAGAGGAAGACAGACAGACAGAGTCTCCCCAGCCACTCCCATTCCTTTCTCTCATTGTGTTGGCTAATGATGGTAATATAACAATAATAAGCAATACACATGCTTGCAGATTTGGACACATAAGCAAAAAAGGCAAAAATATTAGAATCATTCAGAATTCTAGCAGAGGTGTTATGGGGGTTTTGATGTATGGTCCCTTCTACTTTTTATTTTATTTATTTGTTTGAGAAATGTCACCCAGGCTGGAGTGTAATGAGGTGATCTTGGGTTACTGCAGCCTCAACCTCCCAGGCTCAAGCAATCCTCCCACTTCAGCCTCTTGAGCAGCTGGGACCATATGCATGTACCACTATGCCTCGCTAATTTTTGTCTTTTTAGTAGAGTTTCACCATGTTGCCCAGGCTGGTCTTAAATTCCTGGGCTCAAGCTATCAGCCAGCCTCGGACTCACAAAGTGCTGGGATTACAGGTGTGAGCCACTGCACCCAGACCCCTTCTACTTTTTAAATGAGCTCAAGTTCATCCCAAATTTGTTAAAGATCCCCTTTTGATGATACTTAGAAAACACAGTAATGAGAGAAAGGCTTCCTGGGGATGTCAGTCAGATTTGTGTGCCAAACTGGCGATTTAGGGTCCCCACTAAACATGTGTTCCTGAAGAATCTTAGAGGGTCTTATTCTATATCCCCAGGCTCTGACATGTGGCCAGAACTCATGAAATGAAAGAATCAATGGATGAATCAATGACGTAGGTTAATGAAATCCAACAAACTTTGACATGGTTATTAGCTTATAAATCGGGCACTCTTTGTGCATCACATAAACTGTAAAGATGTAGAAAGAATTCAAGGAAAAAAATTAATTCCTACAAGAAGAAAGCTATTTTATTCTTGCTAGCTAGGGGGAAAAAACTCTACAAAATGAAATAATAAAAACTGCCATCTCGTTTCATTCCATATAACATCATGGTTATCATCTTAAGACAATTAAAAAACACTATAACCCAACTGTCAAGTATCCAGCTCTGTAGCAAGAGTCCAACCCAAGTCTCACCAGGAGTTATACCTGAATGGAAGATAGGGGGGGTTTGAGCCAGAAAGGAGTGCTCTGTAGGCTTCTTCTGGTGTCTTCTTTAAATAGATTACCTAAGACAGATAAATAGCGACATTTAGAACACCAAAGCATGACACAAAACTAATTACTCACCAAATTTGCATTTCACCTCCTCCGCTTAGAGTGACAACTGTTATGGTGATAGTGTTGATCTTCACAAAGCAACAACCTGCCAACATTTCCTTTTCAGCATGAAGCTGAGCAGCAGCCTTGGTCTTCTCCATGGGTAAGCTTAGAGACAGAGGGCAGATCCATGAAGAGGCCAACCTGGGCTCTTCACAAAGCCACACTGAACTGATACAATGGCAGGGACAGTTGTACCCTCATCATATACCGTGTGCTCACCAAAGACCAGTGCACATCTCCTTGACCTTCATCGAAGATCTGCCGTGAGTTATTTCAGTGCCTGGTAAGTGTTGAAAGAACTCTCACAGTGAGCACAATACCTATGGGATATCTACTGAGTTTTCTGCCTACTCTGAGGAAACCCAGTGTGCTCAATAAAATCACAATAAAATGGGTGAAAATGTGTATAGGTAAGGGTATTGGAAAACATATTATCTTGGATTTTGATACTAAAGCTACTTAAATCCCTCTGGTCCAACAAGATAAACTAATCTTAAACTAAGACACAAACAGAAAAAAAGCCCTTAAAACCAGTGAGCAACTTCCATGTAATCTACATAGATACTGAGTATATAGCATATGCCAGGCACTGTGTCAGGTACCAGCACCTCACTTAACAGAACTTACACTTGTGGGGCAAAGACAATAATTAACAAAAATAAATACAGTCTAAGGTAAGTGTTGAAAAGGAAATAAACAGGGGCCTGGAAAGGGGCTACCTGAGTCAGTAGTCAGGGAGGGGTCTCTGGGTGATGTTCAGGGTGAGATCTGGAGGGGAAGAGCCACAGGACCAGCTAAAAGAAAGGAGGAAGGCCTTTCCGGGCATGAGAATGACAAAGACAAGGTCCCTGAGTTGGGAAGGAGCTTGGTGAGTGGGAGGAAAAGGAGATCGCTATGGCCAACTGAGAGAAGGGGAGAGGGTGCAAGAGAAAGCCAGGCACTGGCCAGAATGTGAACAGCGATACAAACCACTGGGAGAGTTTGGTTTTATTCCAAGAGCAATTCAATTTTTCAATTCTGAGCCGATGGCATTGGTCCTTTTCCTCTTTAGTTAGAAATGAGCTTAATTCCTACAATCTTCTCTATTAAAAATTAGTGGCATTATTTCCTTAACACGTCCCATCATCAAAACCCTATGCATTTCAATGACAAGAATGGCAGAGTCTCAGTTCCTAACAGCAGGGTTTTCCTCTATTTACAAAGCTTCTTTGAGCTTTAAGCTATTTCACTAGGAATATATTACATGTCTACTTATTAATATTTCAGGACTAGAAAAGGAGTCCAATCTGAGTTTTCTAAAGAAAGAAAAATAAATAGATTAAAAATACTTCTAACCTTAGTAACAAAACCCCATATTCATTTGGCAAGTAAACATGAAGATCTGATAAAGTGAACACCAACCAAAGCTTGCTGAATATGAAACAAAAAGTAATGGAAAGGAAATAACTAAAAGTGCTGCTAGACAAGAGGCACAGATTCTAGAAATGGAGACTCGTGACTCTAGTTGCAGCTCAAATAATTACAAAACTCCATTTAAACCAACACTGGCTCTAAAGACCGTTTTCAGTAACCAACGTTACAACAGGTTTTACCGTACCCTAAGGGGTAGGTTATGCAACAGAGCAAGTTATAATGCAGCGATTTCTTAAGCCTAAAGATGCTGCCGTATTTGAAAGGTGGCTGGCTGCTAAAAGGGAAGGCTGCTTGTAGAAAGCTTCTGTGTGTGGATTAGATAATTAAAGCCTAGACAACAAGCTTTGAAAAGCAAAAATACATTTTCGTCCTTAGGAGCAATTACGTTAATTTGCTTTAATTTTGAGGTAGTCATTCTACAAGAGGGCGGCAGCAGCCCACGTGAAATGCTTCTTTAGACTGGCTACCCCACAGGGCTTTGCTCCTCATCTTACCTGCATGTTTCAGCACACATGGCCCATGTTCTCACACTGTAAGACGAGACCCTTTGTTTTTATTTTTATCCCAGTGCTCAATTATTAATAAGTGCAAGGTGAAACCCAACAGAGGCCATCTAAATTCCAGGAAGATTCCTGGGGCATCTTTTACAGGTTGACCTTTCACAACCTGAAGGTAGTATTTGGGCAAAGTAGGGAAATGTTCTCCTGATGAGCGAGCGCATTACTGCATGAATGCTTGCTGGGTCATTAAAATACCAAATTCCATTTTTCCATCATAAAATATGTCATATATTCTTATGCCAGATCTTCTTAGACATGTCTCCTTATTAAAAATAGAAAGAGAGAAGAGAGAGACAGACTAGGCTACATGAAAGTTCAGAAGAAAAGTGACATTTATTTAAAAAGGTAAGGAACTTTCCAAACTTGCATTGTTGCTCTCAGATGAAAATAGAATTCAAACAGTGGGCTGACTCCAAAGCCCACAGCAATTCCATCAAATCTGCCTGAAAATATAAACTCAGTTGGTAGCATAGGTCTGGAAAAAAGTTTTCCACTCTTCCAAGTTCCTAAATGCCATTTCATTCCATTTGACTTTAAAACTTAGGTGACTTCAAACTTAACAGCTTACAGTCATCTTTAAGGAAAAGTGTTGGGGAAGGATCAGAAGGAGAAAGAGGAACTTTCTAGCTTATCTTTCTACTATCAACACATTGTCTTTTTTACATAGACAAATCTGTTTTTAAATGTAAATTAAATTAGTTATGCAACTTCCTGTGTACTTGTTCTAAAAATAAAATCTATATTTAATGCTCAAAAATGTGTTACCAGATATTCTAATATTTCTAAAAATATTTTTGCCTTCTCTCAGCAGAATCATAAAAATATTTTCTGAATGAAGTTAATTTCAAAGCTTCTTCTAAATATTTTGATTTTTCCTTTTCTGCTCCTAAGGGGAAAGAAATAATATGCTGTCTGCTTTTCTCACTAGGTGTTAACATATATAAACCCAACCCAGAAAATTTCCCCAAACTTCTAATACAACTTAACACAAGCATTTGCACAGTTAGTTTGGTGTACCACATCAGTTTAGTGAGTGGCACATGCACTTTGATAAAATTGCCCTACTTTTGCCAAGAAGTCCTAGACATCATATTAATAAATACGGCATTTAACATACACTTTTAACTGAGGCAGGAGTCACCCAGTTAAAGTGACTTGTTTCTGTTTAATTAACTTCCAGGTACCAAGGACCTAAATAATTTTTAGTTTATTTAATAAAAGGTTTTTAAAGAGCCAGTATCTTAACATATATATTATCAACAGCTAGGAGATTTTGTTAAACAGCATAATAAAATTTACCCTACTACAAACGAGCTTAATTTATATTGTTTACCAGTAAGCCAATGTTGTTCAAACTTCAGTTAATCATGCACTTTCCCAACTTCTCCCATGTGTACCACCAAGCACTACCATTCTTTCTAAACAGACATTTACTTTTAACTTAAATCAATTTGATGTAAAATGTTTTATATCATTGCTATAAATGGAACCCCCCCCACTGAGTCTATACATAAATGAATATTAAAATACCTCACTTATCATTTTAAATATTTGTGTTTGCTACACCTTGCAAAACAATGTAACAAGTATCATATTTGTGCTAATTTTATAGAGGAACACCAGACCAACATAAGAAGTTATATAGAATCCTCTTTGAATTCATCAGCAAATACTTCTAAATCATTTTTTAAACTAAATTCTGCAGTCATTAAATCCTTAAAGCCTGCCCAAAAATAATATATGTGAATTTCAGAAGCATTTTGGAATTTACAACTATATTTCTATACTCAGATAATTCAATCTCTCTGATACACGAGGGATGATTCTTAAAACAAATGGCTTCATAGAGAAGTCTCAACCAGACTTTCAGTCATGACTTTGCTAATGGTCTTTCTCTGGGGACATCTGCCTCAAACTTTACTATGCTTTTTGCTTTGTTTTTAGGTGCTATTGTTTCCTACAAAAAAAGAAGCTTTTCTGCAAAGCACAACACACACACACACTATACATATATTATATGTATAATATATATAAAGCAAAATCTGTGCTCCTATATTAATTATATTTATGTTTTGTGACTTGGAAAGTGAAAATACTCTTGAGGATTCATTTTGGCCATCTGAAAGAGCATTCTTCAATTTTATTTGTTTACTTTTTACTTGTTTAAAAAACAGGAATCAAATGCTGAGAATAGCCTTTCCCAGGTAGGTGCTTCCACTGGAACGCTGACACCATAGCTTTGAAATTAGCATTCCAACTATGTCTGCATCAATTAAATTCCTTCAAAATACAACTTCCAGAAAACAGATGTTACAACTTTAAAATAGTCTAGAAGCACTAAGATTTACCAAATATGGAAGACTTACACCAAAAAGGGAGAGACTTCCTCCACAAGTTTCAGACAACTAGGCTTAGCATACACAGAACACTAAATGTGGACACTACAAAGACATCACTATGATGTGTGCTTTGGGCTGTAGCCCATTAATCAGCAATCATGCTGTGTCCTTTCCTTAGCACCATGTAACTTAAAATTATCCTGCTTGCAAGACTGCAATTGAGGATGGGGGTGGGCAGATGTTAAGAAGAAAATGTTTCTTTCCCTGCTGAAGCTAACCAGTGCAGAACACTCATTTGGCTTGAAACTACTGCCCCCTAACCAGCTGCTCCCAACATCCTCCTTGCTTAAGAAGGATTCCTCCTAGTCAGCCAGGCCCAGATTCTCAAAAACCATTTTTGACCCTGGCCTCTCGATCACTGGTGATACCCACATCAAGTCAATACCCAGTCTGATTCTCTCTCCACAGTCACAGTCAGTTTATTTATTTCATTTCATTTCATTTTGACAGGGTCTGGTTCTGTCCCCCATGCTGGAGTGCAATGGCGCAATCTTGGCTCACTGCAACCTCCACCCTCCAGGCTCAAGCCATCCT